GTGTTCAGGTCACATTATAACAGTTTATGTGTTCAGGTCACATTATAACAGTTTATGTGTTCACGTCACATTACAACAGTTTACGTGTTCAGGTCACATTATAACAGTTTATGTGTTCAGGTCACATTACAACAGTTTATGTGTTCAGGTCACATTACAACAGTTTATGTGTTCAGGTCACATTACAACAGTTTATGTGTTCAGGTCACATTACAACAGTTTATGTGTTCAGGTCACATTACAACAGTTTATGTGTTCAGGTCACATTATAACAGTTTATGTGTTCAGGTCACATTACAACAGTTTATGTGTTCAGGTCACATTACAACAGTTTATGTGTTCAGGTCACATTACAACAGTTTATGTGTTCAGGTCACATTACAACAGTTTATGTGTTCAGGTCACATTACAACAGTTTATGTGTTCAGGTCACACTACAACAGTTTATGTGTTCAGGTCACATTACAACAGTTTATGTGTTCAGGTCACATTACAACAGTTTATGTGTTCAGGTCACATTACAACAGTTTATGTGTTCAGGTCACATTACAACAGTATATGTGTTCAGGTCACATTACAACAGTTTATGTGTTCAGGTCACATTACAACAGTTTATGTGTTCAGGTCACATTATAACAGTTTATGTGTTCAGGTCACATTATAACAGTTTATGTGTTCAGGTCACATTATAACAGTTTATGTGTTCAGGTCACATTACAACATTTCGTGCATTCAGGTCATATTATAATAGTTCATGCATTCAGGTCTCGGTACAACAGTTCATGTATCCAGGTCATATTATAACAGTTCATGTGTTCAGGTCACATTACAACATTCATGTATTCAGGTCACATTATAACATTCATGTATTCAGGTCACATTATAACATTCATGTATTCAGGTCACATTACAACAGTTCATGCATTCAGGTCATATTATAATAGTTCATGTATTCAGGTCACATTACAACAGTTCATGCATTCGGCTAAATTTCAGTGAAAACGAAAAATAACTGAACAAACATTCAACCCTTTATATCTTGCCGTTGTACAAAATTTAACCCAAATCTGTACAATAATTTCTGTAAAATAGGCAGAAAACTCGTAAAAAAATGGCTACCAGTCTACCATTTTGAATTGAATCAGTAACCCACCATTGAATGAAATCGGTCAAAGGTCAACCAAATCAAAAATAAATTGAAGTGCACATGTCTCCCATTATGACATATCTTTGTATCAGCTTTGAAGAAAATCGGTCCGGGCGTCTTTGAGAAATGACGACGGGTGCACGGACGGACGCACGGACGAACGGACAAAAAATCGCTGACAGACTCAGCACTTAAACATTGTGAATGATAAAACATGTCGGAGGTATTTGCCGAGAAAACACGTGTAGTTATTTTCAATCGGCCATAAATAATTCATACTTACATCGTAGGCAAGGGGTCGTCTTTGTTAAGTTGTCATGCACGGAACTAAGATCGCGCGAGATCCAGTTAAGAGGGCGTTTTTTAAAATTAAAGTGGCAACAGAACGATAGTGTACTTCGCCAGTAGATATTTCTTTGTAGGCTGTTGCTCTGTTCTAGGATTGCATTATATGACAAAAAATAGCAATATATTACCCTTCCGAAATGCAATGGGCTGCCGTCAGCACCCATTCCGGATGAATCAACGTTGCCCCGCAAAAATGGTAGTCCTGAATCTTCAGTTGTGCTGCCCATGGCCAGCTGTGGGGATTTGCTGGCACCCCGCCAACGATTGCCGTACTCGGATCTGCTGGCGCTCTCGGTGTTATTGCTTGTATCCCACACGACGCAGTCTGTGGAAAAAGTATTACTAGTAAACAAAAACTTAGTAATGTACAACTGAACCACAACAGTGATAACCTCCGGATACGGGGGTCATCTACGTGGAATAACTTGACGATATGTACAGAGACGCAGCTTACATTTGCTGTTTCTTTCAATTATCAAAATATTAAAGTGTCAATTATTCACGGAAGCCATTATATTGTTGTAAACAAGCATCTTATCTTGGCATTCTCACGAGAGCTGCTCTGAAGTGAATCCGGTTACCTTCACCGTGACATTGATGTGTTAGAATCGGGGAGAAACGTAATATTGTTTACTTACCACGATCGTGGTTGAAATAGCTAAAAATAAAACTGTGTTTAATTAGTACAACTTGAAACAAACAAACAAACACAAATTCAAACAAAACAAATACTATGATCGTAAGTCCATTTTCTCAAAAAAACTTCATAGATTTAAAACGTTCCTGTGTGTATAGGTATTTATGTGAACAAACTAATGTGTGTAATACAAAAATCGGGCATATACATCCAGTTTTAAAAAAAAAACAAGGAAGTTCATGCTGTACTCTCCCGTGGGAACACTCGAGCCTACCCCTCCCCGGACAGTCCACTAGGAGCATAGACGGTATGTGAACAGACTAAAATTTGTCAACTAATGGGTTATATATTTATTTGAACTTGACATACGTCATGACCACCACGGTTTGTCGCCGACAAAACACATTTCCAGCTCGATAGACAGTTGATTGCATTGAACCAAAGCATTCATTGTTTACGGTTTGTCGCGATGGTAACAGTCTCACAACACAACATGGATTAACGCCATACAGCGGAGACTCACCCAACATGGAAGTGACGACAGCCACTAAAACGGTTACGTCATTTATCAACATCTTGGCTCACAGGGGCTGGATTTAGACAAAATAGCTAGTAAAACCTCGACAATTAGCCCGTCACAGTACAGTCACAGTATACAAATAGTAGTATGCTAATATGACCTTATTGAACTACATGTATTATTACTTTATGGGTGTCAATAATATAAGATCATATGTGAGATTACGCCCAGAGTGTGGGTTTAGAACTACGACATAAGATTTGACACAGCAACAAAATGAATTCAAACAACAGACATGTTTGCATCGGTCACATTACGATAAAAACTCCGTTTTCGACATTGTGAATGAGCGATATAACAAGGGTGTATCAAAACTGGAATCATATACGTGTACTTATGTTACGTGACATGAAAGAAGTGTCGCATTATTATTATTACTGCATTATACTAAAATATGTTAACAAATTCCCACTTCCAGTCCGGTTAGACTTAAAATACACCACGAATATTCACTTTTGAGATATAATTTGTGGTATGTGTTGGTTCTTCGATATTTCAGCTTCGTCGTTCTGTACCTCGTTTAGTAATTCGAACTTCCCAGATTGCGTAAAAACGGATAATTTCACGAATTCGGCACCGAAAATGCCTTGGCTTAATTATTTGCTGGGGACGGCCGCTTAGGTATGTGCTCTGTAACTTGCAGCACATGAACCTGAAAGCGTGTTTATTTATCCTTGACTATTCTCTCTCCAAAGTGAATTACATCACGAATGTGTGTAATAAAACTAAATTCACGTCCTAAATTCATAAAGGTGTGTGTCATTTAATGCCTCACTGGTCACTGCGTGTCCCGGAATTTATTGGGTCGCTATCGCCGAGGTAAAAAGTCTCTCACCCCTTGGTTATTATCACCGTTTTCGTCGCTGGAGGGATTCACTTCACAAATTTTAGTTCCCGGGCACCTCTAATAATTGACGATGGTAACAATCATGGTAGATTGGCCTCGAACTTCACCGCTCGAAGAGGCAAAGGCGCCAAGTCTCGATTTTTCATAGACGCAGGTCGTTTAGATCGGACGGTTACTTTTATTTCAAGTTTGTTGTTGTTTTGGGTGAATATAGAACATGTTTAAACCCACAAATGGAGCAAATCCCAAAGATAATACACTAAATGAGGCATTCCTAGCCAACAAAACTATAAAGATTACTTGGTTTAAGAAAATAGTAACAGTGTTAAAAAATGTCAATAAGAATGATTTAATTCACACAGACAAGATTTATCAGCACCTTGGAAATAAATCAACTCAATGAAAAAGTGCATAATATGTACCTGTTACTGTAACAATGGAAAAGTGACATCATTAATGACAATAAAAAAACAATAACTCAAAGAATAAACTCAGAATATATAGATTGTTTAAAAGCAATATTGAAACTGAAAATTATCTCATTGATCTAAAAACAACAGAATTGTGTGAAACTATGATAAAATTTAGACTCAGTAACCACACTTTTAAGATAGAAACAGGTCGTCATAACAAGAATCCATTAAATAACAGAATATGAGGGGTCTGAAACACAAATGAAATAGAGGTTGAGAAACATTTTGTGTTAACATGTCCTCAGTACTGCACCCAAAGAGATAAATGTCTCATGGCTTGGAAAAATAATGCTTTCTTTTGTCCCGGTTATGTGATAGATATTTTGAGTGTGTATGTATTAATTATAGTACACATGCAAGTTAACATATGTGTGTGAATTTGTATTGATGGTGGGAATTTCCAAGCCAGTTTATAAAATTGCGAACAAATATTTTCGTAAATAACACTTAACGCGAAAGGCGTTTTCTCGTTAGTGTGTATCATTTATGCATATAATTACATATTCATATAATACTTTGAATCATTTTAATTATACATGGTATTCCCATATTAACCCCGGTTTTTAATGACGCATACAACATTAGATTCTCAATTCGATGAAAAGATAAGTTCTGCCACTTACCGCGAAAGCCAATCATCGCGAAAGCCAATCATCGCGAAGCTACTAGTAAAAGAAAAAAATACGCCCCACTACATGTTGAGACTTTGTGATGAAATACCATCCTTTTACGTTGGCGGTGTCAATTTCATAGCTCGTGATGACGGGCCTCAAAGACAACATAAGTGCTACATCTCCGTTTTAACGTCTATTTCATTGAAATCAGTGTGTCTAGATTGTGATTTAATTAGCTATCTTAAAATTCGATTACACGTGACAAAACTCCATATTGCCCCGTATTTCTGTCTTGACTAATCAGTGATGTAGCATATTGTGATGATTGTCTTATAAGTACAAAGTACTATAGTAGTTTATGGCGTCATATCAATCACTATCCCCATTGTGTAAATTATACAAAGTGGGTCTTATTACTGCCAGCCAGTTGACCCTTCGAAATTAAAAATAGTGGTAATAAGTTTAAGAGGTTATCGCCCAATATCGGCGATAGATGTGATCGTATACAAGCGAGTGTTATTTATTTTATTTATTTTAAATAATTAATTTAAATATCATTTTTTGTTGTTTTGGAATGTTTATTTGACGTTTCATCGGGGGACGTTTTCCCATGATTGGATTTGGCTGTGGTCAGAGCCTTGCGAGCGCAACAAAACTACACGAAATATAAGTATCGAAGCTTTGATGAATCGATTCACCCATGAATCGTGTAGCCCTACGTATAGTGTTGCGTTTATCAGAATGTACTACTGACAATATTTCTATTGCGATCAAGGCCCTCTATAGTTGAGATCAGTTTATTTATTTCCGTGCTATTTTTGACGCAGAGGACGAATGTCGTGGTAGCTGATTGGCCTCGCCGCCTGTATGTGTACAGATGAAGTATATTGACAGTTGTCTGATGTTTATACGGCATCAAAATAGCCCCATGACGTGTGGCTTAAATTTGATGTTTTTGGCGGAACAGCCACTATATGAATTCGGGAGCTGATCTGTGTATGCAAACAAATGTGGTTTCAGGTTCACTTTTGTATTACTGTTCATCATTTGTTCACTGTATCATTTTATCATTTGTTCATTGTCTCATTTTTACCATTTGTTCACTGTATCCTTTTATCATTTGTTCACTGTATCATTTTATCATTTGTTCATTGTCTTATTTTTACATTTTTTCACTGTATCCTTTTATCATTTGCTCACTGTAACATTTTATCATTGTCTCATTTTTATCATTTGTTCACTGTATAATATTATCATTTGTTCACTGTGTCATTTTTATCTTTTGTTTACTATATCATTTTATCATTTATTCACTGTATCATGTTTATCATTTGTTCACTGTATCATATCATCATTTGTTCTTTGTATAATTGTTATCATTTGTTCACTGTATCATTTGTTCACAGTACCATTTTATCATTTGTTCACTGTATCATTTTAACATTTGTTCACTGCATAATGTGTCCACTGTATCATTTTTATCATTTGTTCATTGTATCACTTCATCACTAGTTCACTGTATCATTTTATCATTTGTTCACAGTAACATTTTATCATTTGTTCACTGTATCATTTTATCATTTGTTCACTGCATAATGTGTTCACTGTATCATTTTTATCATTTGTTCATTTTATCACTTTATCATTTGTTCACTGTATCATTTTATCATTTGTTCACTGTATCATATTATCTTTTGTTCACTGCATCATTTTATCATTTGTTCACTGTATCATGTGTTCACTGTATCATGTGATTACTGTATCATTTTATCATGTGTTCACTGTATCATTTTTATCATTTGTTCATAGTATCACTTTATCATTTGTTCACTGCATCATTTTATCATTTGTTCACTGTATCATGTGTTCACTGTATCATTTGTTCACTGTATCATTTTTATCATTTGTTCGCTGTTTATTAAATAATTTTAAAATTGATTTTATGCACCTTTACCTTTGTCTGTTTATTTTGTATATAGTTCACCGAAGTGCCACTGTTAATTTGATTTGATGTATGTTTAATTCTTTTAAAATAGCGCTCTCACTCAGCAATAATTAGATGAGTGGTTGGTCAAAAGTTTTATGAGTCTGGTGCATCTATTGACTAAGTTTGTTGTACATAGATGCAAATGAGTATAGGAACCATTAATGCTGTAGGGTGTACTGGGAGGGGTGGAGGATTTCATGTTTGTAATGACTGGATGTAATGTGCTATCTCGTTGTTTTCTGGATGCAGCCTGATATTTGTTGCTTTCTTGCTTGGTTGGTTGTTCAACTATGGCTAAATTTTGTGTGGTGCGTAGAAGATGTGTTTATTGGTTGTTGAATCATGGCTTAGACACCCTGCAGCTTGAAATGGTATTGTCCAAATCAAAAAAAAACATGGCATCAAAATGAGTTCTGTGTATCTATTACTATTGTAGATCCTGAGAACTAGCCACTGAATATGATGTCGGGAATAAATGGTATTCTAAACAAGCTTTATTAGTTATTGCTGGCAATATTCGAATACGAATTGGGAGCAAACTGTGACACCAAATCTAGTCGTTGTATTATGCTTCTAAAATATTTTTTTTTCAAATGTCTTGAAACAGATTCAAGTATAAGGATATGGATTGTAAAATATTAAGATGAAATAGTGTTCAACAAATTAGTTTGTATATGGTAAATTGATTTTAAAGAATTCAGTGAAAATATTATACAATAAAATAAATTAAATAGAAATATTATGTGTACTTTTGTATGTGGAAACTTGGCTGGCCCACTCAAAATTATAAAGATGTGAGGTCGGCAGTTCTTTGGTTTTTTTTATTTTTTTTATTTGTGAAAGAAAATTGTATTATAAAGGCTGCAAACAATAAAACAGTTCACCAAAATGTCTCTTCTCTTGAAATTACAAGGTTTAGTGACTACTTCTTATTGTTTTAAATATTAGAATTTCTTTTATATGAGAAGGTTCTTCTGTAAAAATGTAATGAATTAGTTTTAATATTTTATTAGACTGCACCCCCCCCCCCCGCGGGTACAAGTTATAAGTCCTGCCGCAATATGTTTTAAAACA